TACCTTCCCGTGGCTAGCTAGGAGACCTTCTCCCTATTGAGTGCGGAAGTCCGTAAGTTCAAAAACAACAAGGCACCAAGGTTCCTCGAGTTTCTGTGTTACCTCATCAACACCAAGCACACTGGACTAGTAGGGAATAGAGCACTACCCACTGCATGAAAAATCAATAAGCACAACTCTGCCTACATGGATTTATCAACTTTACTCTCAAACATGATGCAAATATTGTACAACTACTTGTCGCCGATTAGAAACCACAGTTGAGGCATCAGGCAGCAGTAAGCTTAGATGAACAACTAGCAAAAAAAGGCATCTCCAGAAATTAGGCACATCAAAGTAATATATGGAAAAAATCATGCAAAAAACATTGAGATGTAATACCCGAAGCTGCAAAAGATGGCAGGTAATGGAACTGAATGAACTGCCAAAATACGTACCAGCTTATGGTATCAACACAAACTAAATGAATTCCTCTTAAATTTGTTTGGAACTGGACCTTAAAGAATGCAGCCATTTTACATGTGAGTATGTATTAACCTCATGCACGCATGAATGTGATGAAGTAGCTAATTTAGAATGCAAATACAGGTTGCACTAGAATTGTATATTTCTCAAAGTGATGATAGTAAAACTGACGTGCTGCGCAAACAAACTGTTAATATTTCTCAAAGTGCCAAGCATCTATGCACATAAAAGTGCCCCAAATCTATATAACACAAATTCTAACAGTATGAATTGAGTGTTCATTAACTTATAGTAAGTAAATTAGTTCATCAGTTTGACATCACCTAGTTCATCAGTAGAACAAAACTTCAAAAATTCACTGGATATCCTACAAAAAAGGGAAATAGATAGATGACAGTCACAGTGCTCGTCGTTGTAGAGGCGGCCGGCGACGCCTACATCTGCCGACCATGCGCGGGTGTACGCCCAGGACGGCGGATCCGATGGTGAGGCGGGCAGTGGGGTGGCCATGGAGGATGGTCGTCCTCGTGGCTGTGGTGGCAGATCCAGTCGCCGTGGAGGTTGGCCTTGCCGACCATGGTGGCTGACGACGACGAGTAGACGCTGGGAGGCGAGGGAGCGCGGGAAGGAGGTACCCGTCATGGCCGGGCTGCACTCTGCTCCCACCATGGTGGACGCTGGAGGAGGACCACGAAGGTGGTGACACGGGCGTCAATGAGATGGATGGGCCAGCCGCGTTCGTGGGCGCAGCATCGGGGAGGAAACGCGGCAACGGAGATCACGCCATGGACGGTGACCCGACAGCGTCGGGAAGAGCAGGCGCACGGAGGGCTCCTCCTGCCGTGCCCGACGGCCTGCAGCGGCGGCGCGCTGCAGTGGCTTCCTTCGGCCTCTCAATGGCGAGGTTATTGCGTAGATGGTGGGGGCGGCGGAGGCGGATGGGGGTGGGAGCTTGGGAGAGGAGCGGCGTAGGGGATTGGAGATTGGATCGGGATTAAGAAAGGAAGGGGACGACGCTAGATGGGAAAACGAGGATTAGGGTCGGTCTAAAATAGGCTTCGCTCCAAAAAATTTGAAATTTTCATTCTCTACGCGCTGCAGGGCAAAACGATTCTCCCTAAAAAAACTAGTGGCTTTTTCAAAAAAAACTAGTGGCTTTGGCACGCTTACGTCAAAAAGACAGTGGGGTTTTTTAACACAAAAAGGTCGTTTTGACATGTACAATGTATATGAATAATCTGATCAAAAAATTAAAATGGCATTTATCATGTAAGTGTATAGTCTATAAAAAAGTAAAAAGCATGTGCCACGTAGTCACATACCATGTGTGTATAATCTGACTAAAAGAATTAAAAAGCACATACTAGACACCATATGTGTACAACTGCACCGCCATATTCATCGGCTTACGAATACCAATAATAAGTTTGTCTCTAACCACTAATTTATATTAGATCGCTATATTAGACTGAACAAAATAATTGCATCGCTCAATAACTTATGAACAAACTATGGCGGGTCCAACTACCAGCATTGAGCCATTGCCACACAAGACCCATAAAAATACACTGACGCGTGTGTCCTAATGCTCAATAACTCGAAGCGGCTATGATGCGTCCCATTGCTAGTAGTTACACTATAAAAAATGAGCATCACACATTTGTAATAATCGGTGACTGTAGTGGGTTCATCATGGAAATTACCAAAACGTCACAAAAATGACAGCCATGTGGCACTCAGCGGCTCACATGATTCAATGACATTAACCGTCACTAACATATAGTAATCGGTGACGCGACCTCCAGAACATCACACATTACATACTTGTGTGACATTGTCAACCACCGTCACAAGGATTTTTGTCACAGTATCTCAATTTTCTTGTAGTGTTTCTTGGTCTTGCTCATGTTGAAGATACTACCTCTTTGACACTAAAAGCTGCAATTCAGAAAATGCTTACGGACTACAATTTGACCTTTGCAATGGTTCGTGGGCAAGGATATGATGGAGCTAGTAACATGAGAGGTAATGCTAATGTCCTGAAAAAACTGATTATGGATGAGTCCCCTTCTGCCTACTATGTTCATTGTTTTGCCCATCAACTACAGTTAACTCTTGTTGCTGTTGCTAAGGAGAGTGGTGATTGTACTTGGTTCTTTCAGTAGCTTGCACACTTGTTAAATGCTCTTGGCATGTCTTGTAAAAAGATGAGAATGCTTCGGATAGCTCAGGCTAAAGAACTCATTGATGCATTGGAATTGGAAGAAGTAGAAACAGGGAGTGGGCTGAATCAGGAAATGGGTTTGGAAAGGCCATGTGATACACGTTGGACCTCTCACTTCAAAACTGTGAACCGTGTCATCTCTCTGTATGGTACACTACGACGAGTCCTTCGCAAGATTGGAGATGAGTACCATGGTGCGGAGGCACAAGCAGCTCTATCCATAGAGAAAATATTTCGATCATTTGAGTTTGTTTTCATGGCACACTTGATGCAAGAAATATTTGGATACACAGATGAGTTGTGTAGAGCTTTGCAAAAGCAAGACGAAGATATTGTTCATGCTATTGAGCTTGTTGGTGACACAAAGTATTACTTGGAGGCTTTGAGGACCGATGCTGGATGGGATGATTTTCTCACAAAGGTCACATCTTTTTGTACAAAGCATAAGATCAAAGTTGTTGATATGGAGGGTCCTTACTTTCCCGTTGGTCGGCCTAGAAGAGGTTTATGTAATGGTGTGAACAATTACCACCGCTTCAAGGTTGATATGTTTGTGGGTGTCATTGATAGGAAAATCAGTGAGCTGAATGGCAGATTCGATGAGGTAAACACGGAACTACTTTCTTGCATGGCAGCTTTCTGTCCACTTCATCTATTTGCTGCTTGTGACCAAGAGAAGTTGGTTAGGCTTGCTACAAAGTTTTATGCTTCTGATTTTACAAGTGATGAACTGGCAAGACTTTCATGGCAACTAAACATGTATGTTACTAATGTGCGTAGAAATGAAAGGTTTCAAAATCTGAAAAATCTGTGTCAGCTTTCAGTTATACTTGTTGAGACAAACAAGCATGAATAATATCATATTGTTTACAAGCTTCTTAAGTTGGTATTGATTCTGCCAGTAGCTACTGCTAGTGTTGAAAGGGTATTCTCTTCAATGAGCTATGTGAAGAATAAGCTAAGGAACAAAATGGGTGATGAATATTTGAACAATTGCTTGGTTACATTTGTTGAGAGAGAATTTTTTGATCAAGTGAAGGATGAAGATATCATCAATCTCTTCCAAAAAGGCGACCGCAAAGTTATATTGTAAGAAGGATATCATCACTTTATCAATCAAAAGGTACTTATGTATTCATGTTGTTATGGTCTGATACATTGAAATATTGCTATTGCAGTTATGCTAGTGTTGTTTTGTTCATATATTGCTAGTGTTGTGTTATTTGGTTCATATACTACATTTAGAGCCAAAAAAATTTTGGATGAATACCCAGCCTTCATTTCCTGGCGCCGCCACTGCCTCCGCCGGTATCTTCGGGCTGTTCTTCTTCGTCTCCGGGCACTCGGTGGTGGCGGTCGGGTCGTCGGGTTTCTTCGGGGCATCGACCATGGAGGAGGGAGTGGAGGGGGAGCGTGGGAGGTTTTTGGGAATGAGGGGGAAAGTGGGTGTGTTTGTGTCCCCGATGGTTGGGCCAGGGGAGGACAAGGGCGTGCATCCCGCCCGTCCGCGCACTGTCTGTTTCGACGCAAACGCGGCTCAAATTTGGGGGCCATGTTTTGTGTCCGTTACGCGGCCGGACCATTTGGGATCACACGCTGGAGTTGGCCTGAGTACCATATGTCTGTAGCTAACACATTGTTGTATGCAATATTCTGATATGCTTTTGTTTGGGTGAAATAAACTTTTGATCACTGCTCTCTTTGGAACTTCTCTAAGTGAAAAGAAGTTACATGAGAACAGAAGACATTATTTGGAAAATAAGACATGGATAGGGAGTCCCAAAGACAGGAACTATAGTTGGGGGAGGCAAGTGAGAAGGTGGCGATGGACTAGGTTTTTTCTCTTAGTTTGTGGTGGCATTGAAATTATTTTCTTTTGTTAAATAGTTGGAGTACTTCTATATATGTTGCTCTTCATTGATTAAAAACGGCACAAAAAGGCGCACGTTTCCTTCTAGTCATGTTTGGAAAAGGGTAAATTCTGAAAGTTGTGAATTCTTTACATACAGGTCATTTTTATGTTTGTATCTACGACTATCCAATCCAAGCATATGCCAATTTCCTCTTTCTATGTTCAGCGTCGGTGATGTTGTTCCCCAGTGTCCATCCTCTGAGAAGTGAAGTGCCGCCGGTCGCATCCCCGTTCACCGCCGGCACGCGTCGCTATCGTTAGCCAAACCAAGGTACCTTTCCGACTCCCCACAGGACCACCACCACCACCGGGTTAATTTTTCTCAGCCAGATCTATGATTTTCTCTCTCCATTTATAGATCTAGTCTGACCGTGTCCCCTGCCTAGCCCTTCCTCCTCCATGGAGGAGGCGGAGAAAGGGGAGATCTTGGAGTGGAACGCCAAGCCAAGCTCCATGGAGGAGGCGGAGATCTTCGAGAGGAACACCAAGCCGAGGTTGGACGACCATCCGCAGGCGACGACGGCGGGGGCGACCAGCCTGTTCAATGTCGACCTCATCCTGGAGATCCTCTCCTGCCTCCCAGCCAGATCCGTCCACCGTTTCAAGTGCGTCTCAGTGCTCTGGCGCGACCTCATCGCCGACCCCGCCAACCACAAGAAGCTGCCCCAGACCCTTGCTGGCTTCCTCTACACGTCCTTCTGCAGCAACGGGTATCGCCACCACTTTGCCGGTTTCTCCGGCGGCACAGCCTCCTTTGACCCTTCCCTCCCTTACCTGTATCCTAACAAGGATGAGGGCATCACCCAGGTGGATGCTTGCAATGGCCTCCTTCTCTACCGCCGTTACAACAGCAGCAGGCATGATTACCATTTTGTTGTGTGCAATCCCGCCACCGGGAGGTGGGTGGAGGTGCCACCTCAACCTCAAAAGCCGGAGCCAATGAACAGACTTAACCATACTGCAGGCCTAGCTTTCGATCCAGCAGTCTCGTCCCATTTCTATGTTCTTTGTTTCGAGCGGACCTTTCCGAAAACTTTGATCGCAGGAGTGAACATCTACTCGTCTCGCACAGGAGCCTGGATTCATAGAGACAGTGGGATAGTTGAGAAAGCTACCCTGTTCAGGAGTAAATGTGTCTTTGTTGGTGGTATGCTGTACATCATGGGTAACGTGGTGGACACCAACGGTGAGTATGTGCTGGTGGGGGTGGACATGGAGGGGAAAGTGTGGAAGACTATCTGTGTGCCGTACGGTTCAAAATTTGGTACTATTGGATTGTCGCAGGGGTGCTTACACTATGCTATAGCTTCTGTCAATAATAACAATGAAATCCTAGTTTCTGAGATAGCACTCTGGTGCCTCAAGGATTGGGACAGTAAACAATGGGTCCTGAAGCATACTGCCAGCATCAATACGCTTATGAGCATGACTGGGGAGATGTACAGGGTGGTTGAGATTCATCCAGATTGCGACACAATTTTCCTGGCTCAGTGTGGAGGTGATACCTTGATGTCATATGACATGTGGCATCAGAAAGTTGGCTGTATCATTAATCTTGAGAGAAACAGTGCGCACAAATTTCTACCCTATGTTCCTCTGTTCTCAGAGCCATTAGCAGATGCTGAGGGGTAGTAGCTTTACCTTCAAACCACCCCTGTGTTTCCTCCCAAAAACTGGCTCTTCTTTCGTCTGAAAAAATTGTCTGTGTACCTCCGAATCTGCTTCAATCATGGCCCCCCACTTTGCTGGTGCTTATACTTCTGCTTGTTTGATTTCCAGTTCAGACATCAGAGCAACGCTTGGTCAACCTACAGATTAAGCATCATTTCATTTTCAAAGAAAGTTGTTACCCTTGTTCTTGTTTGCCCAGCACTGGCTGTTATTCGGGACATGACTTAGTTTGATGGGGTTAAACTGTACTGTGATAGGCCCTGCTATCCATAACAATTAGTTATTATTGTTATCCGAAATCTTAGTGCATATTGTCAACCTGCTAGTGTACTAAAAGGTTCAGTCGGACTTGTTACTGGTGTGATCTCTAGTTGACTTTATGCATTTGGTATTTTTTTACTGATGTGATCTCTAGTTGAATTTATGCATTTGGTATTTTGCAAAGCACTTCCGTTGTGAAATTCTTTATTTGGTTTTGCTGTAGCTAATGATTCAGTAAAGCTTTGGATCTGCTGACCACAGAGGAATTGTATATTTGTATTAATATCTGAAAGTGAATTATAATAGTAAGCTTTGATGAAAAAAAAAGTGCCAGGTGTATGCGTCTTTGGTCCATCATATAAGCTTGCGCTTAAGGTAGGATTTTTGTTGGCAGGTGCCAGGACGGGGGCATTTAGACGCTTGTCGGAAAAGTCTCACACTAGAAATGTAATGGCCATGAACATATAGGCTTGTCTATTATTGGTTTAGACGCTTTGCGTTATCCGCTCTTAACTGAAGTCTGGGTAATACGGCCGATGTGCCTTGTGGCTGTACGCGTCGAAACCATACCCGGCAAGGCAGAAAAATCACCGTGTACATTGTCAGACTCCCAGATTCTGTCAAAAAAAATGCAAATCCTAATGTCAATATCTTGCTCTGCGCTAAGCCGCCGAATCCCATGAAAACCTGCAAGGTGTAAAATCATCTTTAGGAAAAGGAAAAGAAATTAGCATATTGCCTGTGCTTCATCATTCGGTAAAGAGGCAAGAAAACAGCGTGAAGCAAAGGGCCATGTAGAGAGTATGAAGACAACAGGCAACGGATTGTTCACCCCTTACTTAGAGAGGAGGAACCGCATACTCTTGTAGTATTATCTCCATTTCTGCTATAATTTCAGGTGCAGTAGCAGCGTAGAAGAAGTAGATCGGACTATTTCAGAGGTTTCAGTCCAAGTTTCTGTTTCTGAGGCTGCTCCTCTCTTGTGAAGGTACGAGCATACTACTTGTAGTATACTATGTATTAACGGAGAGGTGGGTTCCTTCTTCCAAAACAAATGTCGTCTGCGCCAAGGCGATTCCATCTCCCCTTGCTCTTCGACATGGTGGCATACTCGTTTTCTGCCATCTTAGACAAGGTTAGGGCTGCCAGCCACCTTAAAGAGGTCGTCCCTCATCCTATCCCTGAAGATGCAGGTGAGGTAGGCCGGTTCCCCTCGGCTGCGCGGGCAGCGAGGTCCCGGTGGGCGCAGGTCTTGGCGCATGGAGGCCCCGGGCTCCCCGCATCAGATCGGAGGCGATCCTGGTCCGCTCGTGATGCATGACCTCCGGCCGGCCTGGATCTCCGGCGTTCTCGCGCCTGCGGATGTCGTGGCTGGCTCGGAGGTGGCGGCAGGGTGCTTGGCCGGGGGAAACCCTTGGCCGCCGATGGCGGCCACGGCGTTGATGACGTCCCGGACGCCATTCCCTCCTTGGTGGCGGCGCCGAGGCTAAATATCCCCTGCCTCCCCCCTTCCCATGCGCCCGGGTGAAAACCCTAGCCCCGGTGGCTAAGCGGCGGCGGCGCCACAGTGCCGTCACCTTCTTGAAGACGCCGACTTGGGCATGGGGATGCTGGGTGTGTATTGCGAGCTTGTCTGGTTCCTGGTGGCGGCCCTTCCGGCCGTGTCTCCAATGGGAACCTCGCCCTTCCTCACCCTGTACATGCCGTGGTGGAGCGGTACTTCATCTCACTCATTCATGGCGGCGAGGATTGGCGGCATGGCGCTGTGGAGGCTCGCCGCCCGATACGCGGAGATGGACTCGCGCGGGCGGAGGTTGCTGTCTGGCGTCATGGTGACGTCGATGGCAGAGTGGCCACACAAGGTAGAAGCCTCAATATGATCTGAAGATGGACCTGCGGAAGATGGTGGCGACGACACACGAGTGTGTCTGACCGGATTGTGCCCCAGGCCCGGTATGTGGCTCGGCTGGGGCTTCTGAATATATTTCGGTTTCCGGCTTTTTGATGTTATGCTTAGGTGAGTGTTTGGGTAGTGGCCCAGCTAGCACCCCTTCATCATTTTGGATAGGAGTAGTAGCATGTGTTGCCAAGATGGTGGATTCAGGCTTATTGTTGTAATACTTTGTAAAGTCCACAAGAATAACTAATAAAGTGGCCGTATGCATCTTCCAGATGCAGAGGCCGGGGGTCATCCTCCTTTTCTAAAAAAAAAAAATCCTATCCCTGAAGATGTGACTATCTCAAATACGCTGACGACTTGGTGGTTTTCTTTCAATCGGATTCTCTAAGCATAGCCACGGTCAAGATTCTGAGCATCTGCTTTGTGGCGATGTTAGGGTTAAAAACCAACTACTCAAAAAGTGGAGCAATTTCCATTGGAAGGACAAGGAAGAGGGTCAATGGATAGCGGATCTCCTAAACTGTACTAATGGTTCTTTTCCCATTAGCTACCTTGGGCTCCCATGCGCTAACAAAATCACTGTGGAGTCGGAGTGGGATCCTACCGGGGAGAAGGCTGTTAAAAGATGTGATGTGTGGCAAGTGAAGCTCATGTCTTCTGCGCCTCGTCCTACGCTGACTAACGCGTGTCTCTCTACGATTCCTACCTTTGCCATGGGCTTGTTTAGAAGGGGTACAGTCTGAATTTGAGAAAGTGCGGGATAGATTTTTCTAGGAAGTCGATCCCAAAAATGCAAATATTGAATAAATAGCATAAAATTATTACTTTACATGCTAGGATTCCAAAAAACTATCAGTTTTTAATTTTTCTAAGATAACTACCAAGTGGGTGGTTGGCTGTTTCAAAAAACCCAAAACATCCAGTGCTTTACAATTGATCGTGATTATGACAATTGGGACCCGCACGTAAGAAAACAGATTGTTTGACCGTTATGTGACATATGGGGTCCACATGTCAGCTCTCTTCCTCGTTCTTTTTACTCCTCCTGCCTCTCTTCTTCCCCAGGAGGTCGACAGAGTGCTGGCCGCCGCTCCTTCCCCAGCGCCGGTCGCCTCCTTCCACCAACGTCGGTCGCCCCTCCTTCGACCTCGTCGGTGTCGGCCAGCCGCTCCTCCGCCTCCATTATTGCCCCCTCTCCCTGGAACTCCTCACCATGGCATCTTCTCCCCTAACGCGTCGCCAGCCTCGGCCTGCAGCCATGCCGTCTGACGTGCCGCCCTCCAAAGGCGTTGCCCCGCCGGTATGGACGGTCGCGACGAAAGGGAGCTCCACGACGGCGCCCGCGAAGGAAGGGAGCTCCACGGCGGCGCCGCTGCTCGGTGCCATGGCTGCTGGTCATGATGGAAGGGAGCTCCACGGCGGCGCCATGGCTGCTGGTCGTGACGAAAGAGAGCTCCACGGCGGCACCATGGCTGCTGGCCAGCGACCCTCACGGCGGCTGCTGACGCATGACCACGGGAGGACCTGATTGCTTTTTCAAAAGTTTGCAGGGACCCGATTGCGTTTTTGAAAAGTTTGTAGGGACCCGATGGCAGTTTTGAGAAGTTTCAAGACACTGACATGTGGGGCCCACATGTCAGTTAACGGTCAAATAGACGGATCATTTAGGTGCGGGCCCGACCTGTCATAAACTTGCTTAATTTTTCAACAACGAAGATTTTGGGGTTTTTTTAAACAGCCGACTACCCACTTGATAGTTATCTGAGAAAAGTTAAAAATAGGTAGTTTTTTGGAACCATAGCCTGTAAAGCAGTAGTTTTATGATATTTACTCACAAATATCATATGGTCAGATAGGCAGACATAAAAACCAAGGAGGCCTCGGGATTCTGAATTCTAGAAAGATGAACCTCGCCCTTATTACCAAATGGATTTGGAAAATCTCACAGAACGACGACTGCCTTTGGGCACGGTTACTTAAAGCCAAATATTTCCGCAGCTCTTATTTCTTTGCTTGTAACACCAAAGGGGAACCGTCTTGACACCAAATTCTTGTTGGCCAAATGGATTCCAGACAAACCTCTATACGCATCCTTTCCTTTTTTGCGCAATCTTTATGCATCCTTTCCCTCTTTGTTTGTCATCAGGGCGGATCCCCACATTTTGGTTAGTGAGGTGTTTGCGTCCGGTAGTGCCAACGTGGGTTTTCTTCGATCGCTCACGACGAATGAAACAATTGCTTGGGAAGCTCTTATGAATCTTTTACAACCTGTAACTACCAACTCCCTCATGGACACTATTAGCTAGGATCTCGAAGCTTCAGGTAGCTTCTCTGTCAAATCTACCTACCCCCATACTTGCCAAAGGACCTAAAGTTCGCTTTGCCAAGGCACTATGGGCTATACAAGTTCCTCTTAAGATTCAAATTTTCATTTGGCAAGCCACTTTAGATCGCCAGATTTCTTGGTGTGTGTGGCGAGGTCAGGGCAGATCTCCATCTTGTAGGTAGGGCGATAATTTTTGTCATGATGATGTCTTTCGGTTGATCTATGCATTTATTTTGGAAGGCCCTATTTTTTTGGAACAAAGGCTCAAGAAGAGCCCGGCTTTGAATTATCGAAGCCATCAACCGGCCAGGAATTACATCGGCCCCATACAACGATAAAGAGAAACAAAGAAACTGAAAACGGCAGATACAAGGTGCTACCAAAACAGCTTACAGGCACCACAACACACAACACAAGAAATCTACAGGAGGACTAGCTAAATGTTGATGGAGCCCTTCGACAAGAATGAAGCAC